CCTCCTGGCGCTATATAAGGCTCCATCCTGTCACTTCAACCCCATATTGTTTCAAACTTTGGAACAATGCTCTTCTCCAGACTGAGGGACTGACCACCTCAAAACTTTAAGGGTGATGGACTGATTACATCGTCTTCAAGTATCTTCTGCTTCTATCAACTTTTCTGTACTCGACTGAAGAAGCCTACTGTGTAGGCGAAACGTTTCGAAATAAAGATGCCTAACTGTTGCATATGTGTCTTACCTAGCACCACCAGAGAGTGTTGGAGACAGTGTTGGAGCCTCGCCCAGGGTGGAACCTACCCTCCAACACCACCAGACAGTGTTGGAGCCTCGCCCAGGGTGGAACCTACCCTCCAACACCACCAGACAGTGTTGGAGCCTCGCCCAGGGTGGAACCTACCCTCCAACACCACCAGACAGTGTTGGAGACTCGCCTAGGGTGGAACCTGCCCTCCAATACCACCAGACAGTGTTGGAGCCTCGCCCAGGGTGGAACGCATCCTCCAACACCACCAGACAGTGTTGGAGACAGTGTTGGAGCCTCTCCCAGGATGGAACCTACCCTCCAACACCACCAGACAGTGTTGGAGCCTCGCCCAGGGTGGAACCTACCCTCCAACACCACCGGACAGTGTTGGAGCCTCGCCCAGGGTGGAACCTACCCTCCAACACCACCAGACAGTGTTGGAGACAGTGTTGGAACCTCGCCCAGGGTGGAACCTACCCTCCAACACCACCAGACAGTGTTGGAGCCTCGCCCAGGGTGGAACCTACCCTCCAACACCACCAGACAGTGTTGGAGCCTCGCCCAGGGTGGAACCTACCCTCCAACACCACCAGACAGTGTTGGAGATTCGCCCAGGGTGGAACCTACCCTCCAACACCACCAGACAGTGTTGGAGCCTCGCCCAGGGTGGAACGTATCCTCCAACACCACCAGACAGTGTTGGAGACAGTGTTGGAGCCTCTCCCAGGGTGGAACCTACCCTCCAACACCACCAGACAGTGTTGGAGCCTCGCCCAGGGTGGAACCTACCCTCCAACACCACCAGACAGTGTTGGAGCCTCGCGCAGGGTGGAACCTACCCTCCAACACCACCAGACAGTGTTGGAGACAGTGTTGGAACCTCGCCCAGGGTGGAACCTACCCTCCACCACCAGACAGTGTTGAGACAGTGTTGGAGCCTCGCCCAGGGTGGAACCTACCCTCCAACACCACCAGACAGTGTTGGAGACAGTGTTGGAGCCTCGCCCAGGGTGGAACCTACCCTCCAACACCACCAGACAGTGTTGGAGCCTCGCCCAGGGTGGAACGTACCCTCCAACACCACCAGACAGTGTTGGAGACAGTGTTGGAACCTCGCCCAGGGTGGAACCTACCCTCCAACACCACCAGACAGTGTTGGAGACAGTGTTCGAGCCTCGCCCAGGGTGGAACCTACCCTCCAACACCACCAGACAGTGTTGGAGCCTCGCCCAGGGTGGAACCTACCCTCCAACACCAGACAGTGTTGGAGACTCGCCCAGGGTGGAACCTACCCTCCAACACCACCAGACAGTGTTGGAGACTCGCCCAGGGTGGAACCTACCCTCCAACACCACCAGACAGTGTTGGAGCCTCGCCCAGGGTGGAACGTATCCTCCAACACCACCAGACAGTGTTGGAGACAGTGTTGGAACCTCGCCCAGGGTGGAACCTACCCTCCACCACCAGACAGTGTTGAGACAGTGTTGGAGCCTCGCCCAGGGTGGAACCTACCCTCCAACACCACCAGACAGTGTTGGAGACAGTGTTGGAGCCTCGCCCAGGGTGGAACCTACCCTCCAACACCACCAGACAGTGTTGGAGCCTCGCCCAGGGTGGAAGGTACCCTCCAACACCACCAGACAGTGTTGGAGACAGCGTTGGAACCTCGCCCAGGGTGGAACCTACCCTCCAACACCACCAGACAGTGTTGGAGACAGTGTTCGAGCCTCGCACAGGGTGGAACCTACCCTCCAACACCACCAGACAGTGTTGGAGCCTCGCCCAGGGTGGAACCTACCCTCCAACACCACCAGACAGTGTTGGAGACTCGCCCAGGGTGGAACCTACCCTCCAACACCACCAGACAGTGTTGGAGCCTCGCCCAGGGTGGAACGTATCCTCCAACACCACCAGACAGTGTTGGAGACAGTGTTGGAGCCTCTCCCAGGGTGGAACCTACCCTCCAACACCACCAGACAGTGTTGGAGCCTCGCCCAGGGTGGAACCTACCCTCCAACACCACCAGACAGTGTTGGAGCCTCGCGCAGGGTGGAACCTACCCTCCAACACCACCAGACAGTGTTGGAACCTCGCCCAGGGTGGAACCTACCCTCCACCACCAGGCAGTGTTGGAGACAGTGTTGGAGCCTCGCCCAGGGTGGAACCTACCCTCCAACACCAGACAGTGTTGGAGACAGTGTTGGAGCCTCGCCCAGGGTGGAACCTACCCTCCAACACCACCAGACAGTGTTGGAGACAGTGTTGGAGCCTCGCCCAGGGTGGAACCTACCCTCCAACACCACCAGACAGTGTTGGGGACAGTGTTGGAGCCTCGCCCAGGGTGGAACCTACCCTCCAACACCACCACACAGTGTTGGAGACAGTGTTGGAGCCTCGCCCAGGGTGGAACCTACCCTCCAACACCACCAGACAGTGTTGGAGACAGTGTTGGAACCTCGCGCAGGGTGGAACCTACCCTCCAACACCACCAGACCGTGTTGGAGACAGTGCTGGAGCCTCGCCCAGGGTGGAACCTACCCTCCAACACCACCCGACAGTGTTGGAGCCTCGCCCAGGGTGGAACCTACCCTCCAACACCACCAGACAGTGTTGGAGACAGTGTTGGAGCCTCGCCCAGGGTGGAACCTACCCTCCAACACCACCAGACAGTGTTGGAGCCTCTCCCAGGGTGGAACCTACCCTCCAACACCACCAGACAGTGTTGGAGACAGTGTTGGAGCCTCGCCCATGGTGGAACCTACCCTCCAACACCAGACAGTGTTGGAGCCTCGCCCAGGGTGGAACCTACCCTCCAACACCACCCGACAGTGTTGGAGCCTCTCCCAGGGTGGAACCTACCCTCCAACACCACCAGACAGTGTTGGAGACAGTGTTGGAGCCTCGCCCAGGGTGGAACCTACCCTCCAACACCACCAGACAGTGTTGGAGACAGTGTTGGAGCCTCGCCCAGGGTGGAACCTACCCTCCAACACCACCAGACAGTGTTGGAGACAGTGTTGGAGCCTCGCCCAGGGTGGAACCTACCCTCCAACACCACCAGACAGTGTTGGAGCCTCGCCCAGGGTGGAACCTACCCTCCAACACCACCAGACAGTGTTGGAGACAGTGTTTGGAGCCTCGCCCAGGGTGGAACCTACCCTCCAACACCACCAGACAGTGTTGGAGCCTCGCCCAGGGTGGAACCTACCCTCCAACACCACCAGACAGTGTTGGAGCCTCGCCCAGGGTGGAACCTACCCTCCAACACCACCAGACAGTGTTGGAGCCTCGCCCAGGGTGGAACCTACCCTCCAACACCACCAGACAGTGTTGGAGACAGTGTTGGAGCCTCGCCCAGGGTGGAACCTACCCTCCAACACCACCAGACAGAGTTGGAGACAGTGTTGGAGCCTCGCCCAGGGTGGAACCTACCCTCCAACACCACCAGACAGTGTTGGAGCCTCGCCCAGGGTGGAACCTACCCTCCAACACCACCAGACAGTGTTGGAGCCTCGCCCAGGGTGGAACCTACCCTCCAACACCACCAGACAGTGTTGGAGACAGTGTTGGAGCCTCGCCCAGGGTGGAACCTACCCTCCAACACCACCAGACAGTGTTGGAGACAGTGTTGGAGCCTCGCCCAGGGTGGAACCTACCCTCCAACACCACCAAGACAGTGTTGGAGACAGTGTTGGAGCCTCGCCCAGGGTGGGAACCTACCCTCCAACACCACCAGACAGTGTTGGAGACAGTGTTGGAGCCTCGCCCAGGGTGGAACCTACCCTCCAACACCACCAGACAGTGTTGGAGACAGTGTTGGAGCCTCGCCCAGGGTGGAACCTACCCTCCAACACCACCAGACAGTGTTGGAGACAGTGTTGGAGCCTCGCCAGGGTGGAACCTACCCTCCAACACCACCAGACAGTGTTGGAGACAGTGTTGGAGCCTCGCCCAGGGTGGAACCTACCCTCCAACACCACCAGACAGTGTTGGAGACAGTGTTGGAGCCTCGCCCAGGGTGGAACCTACCCTCCAACACCACCAGACAGTGTTGGAGACAGTGTTGGAGCCTCGCCCAGGGTGGAACCTACCCTCCAACACCACCAGTGTTGGAGACAGTGTTGGAGCCTCGCCCAGGGTGGAACCTACCCTCCAACACCACCAGACAGTGTTGGAGACAGTGTTGGAGCCTCGCCCAGGGTGGAACCTACCCTCCAACACCACCAGACAGTGTTGGAGACAGTGTTGGAGCCTCGCCCAGGGTGGAACCTACCTCCAACACCACCAGACAGTGTTGGAGACAGTGTTGGAGCCTCGCCCAGGGTGGAACCTACCCTCCAACACCACCAGACAGTGTTGGAGACAGTGTTGGAGCCTCGCCCAGGGTGGAACCTACCCTCCAACACCACCAGACAGTGTTGGAGACAGTGTTGGAGCCTCGCCCAGGGGGAAACCTACCCTCCAACACCACCAGACAGTGTTGGAGACAGTGTTGGAGCCTCGCCCAGGGTGGAACCTACCCTCCAACACCACCAGACAGTGTTGGAGACAGTGTTGGAGCCTCGCCCAAGGGGGAACTACCCTCCAACACCACCAGACAGTGTTGGAGACAGTGTTGGAGCCTCGCCCAGGGTGGAACCTACCCTCCAACACCACCAGACAGTGTTGGAGACAGTGTTGGAGCCTCGCCCAGGGTGGAACCTACCCTCCAACACCACCAGAGGTCGTCAGTGTTGTTGTTATTCTTGTGGTGGGGTAAACAAAGGCAGTTTTCTCCACTTTTAAGCCACTTTAAGTGGGTTTTAAGCCCCCCTAAGCCACCCACCTACCCAGTGATGGTCAGTTCCACCCCTTAGCCACCCATTAAGGGGTTTAAAGGGGGAAATAAGGGCGTAAATGGGGTGAAATGAGGGCGCGTGTTGAGACGCTGGAGTGAGTCAAGGTATATCCCGAGGTGGGGGTATTATTTTGGGGTATTATACCCCCCTGGGGGCATTAAATGGGCTTTCTGGGGTGACACCGTGCCCCTGGGGAGGTATAAATGTAGTGTCAAGGGGTATCAGGGGGTACATGGGTGTCTAAGGGTATATATGGGATACCTAAATTTCCCGAAGTGGGGGTATTGTTTTGGGGTATTATACCCACCTGGGGCATTAAATGGGCTTTCTGGGGTATCACAGTGCCTTTGGGGTAGTATATGTGGGGTGTCAGGGTGTACATGGGTGTCTAGGGGTATATATGGGATACCCTAATTTCCCGGTTTGAGGGTATTTTTTGGGGGTATTATACCCCCGGGGTTACTAAATTGGCTTTCTGGGGCGCCATAATGCCCCTGAGATGTGTAAATGGGGTGTCAGTGGGTATCGGGGGGGGTAAATGAGTTTCAGGGGATGAATAATATCGAGGTGGGGGTATTATTTTTGGGTATTATACCCCCTGGGGCATTAAATGGGCCTTCTGGGGTGCCACGGTGCCCCTGGGGTGATATTAATAAGGGTATCAGTTGGTATTGGAGTAAATTACTGGGAGTTAATAATACCTCGAGGTGGGAGTATTATTTTGGGGTATTATACCCCTGGGGGCACTAAATGGCACTGATATATGCTAGGGCGCCCCTGGTGGTTATAAATGGGGATGTCAGGGGATATTAGGGGGTTAATGAGTTTCAGGGGTTGAATGTAATCCCTGAAGGTGGGGGTATTGTTTTGGGGTATTATACCCCCTGGGGGTACTAAATAGGTTTTCTGGGGTGCCACAGTGCCTCTTGGGGGTTATAAATGGGGTATCAGGGGGTAAATGAGTGTCTGGGGGTTAATAATATCTCGAGGTGGGGGTATTGTTTTGGGGTATTATATCCCCTGGGGGTACTAAATGGGTTTTCTGGGGTGCGACAGTGCCTTTTTGGGGTATAAATGGGGTATCAGAAGTAAATGAGTGTATGGGGTAAATCTAATACCCCAAGTTGGTTGGGGGTATTGGGTACTATTCCCCCAGGGGCACTGATTTGCCACAGTGCCCCTGGGGTGGTATAAATGAGGGTATCAGGGGGTAAATAAGTGTCTGGGGGGATAACAGCACCCCCCTGGGGTCACTGGGAAAATTGCTAGTCAATTCCCAGCACCCCAGGGGAGGGCCCTTGATGCCATCAAGAGGGCTCTTGCTCCAAGGGATTGGAGCTGCCCTCCCCTTCCTGGGATCAAAACCAATTCACCCCTCGTTCTTCCAGGCACTATATGACCCCTGTGGTTTTAGTGCTCCTCATGAATTTAATAATAACTGACAGTAATGATAATTAACGATAATAATAATAATACGCCAATTCGGACATATCAAATTATACTCAAAAATTTGTTTATACGGCTCCTGATTCACTTATGGCGTCAGAGCGCCACTCTGTTTACATCCTCCGTGAGCTCTCCGTTTCTCAGTTGTATCTGGAAACTTTCCAAAATTTCAGGGGTTTTAAAATTATTGCATATTTTATATATACGGCCTCACATCGGGTTCCATTCCTAAGAATAGGTCGGTAAGCGAATTAGTCGTTAAGCAAGTATCATACTATAATGGTAGTGGGTTTGTGTCAACCATCTTTGATATTGTTTTAATGAACATGGGGAATATATAATAGCCAAATTCAAATCCAAATACCTACAAAAACCTCTCACATTGATAAACATCTACAGAGTTCCACAGTCAAACATTAGCCAATTTAGTCAAAACCTAGGAAGTATGATAACTGATGCACGCATGAACAAAGATCACTTACTACTCTCAGGTGACTTCAATATAAATCTCCTGCAAGACCAGGACCCACACGTTACTGAATTCACAAACACAATGAGTAACTGCATGTTGCTACCAACAGTAACAAAACCTACAAGAGTTACGGAGACTAGTGTTTCCCTACTTGACCACATCTGGACCAACACCATATCCCCTTTAAAATCAGGCATAATTACAGATAATACCACAGACCATTACCCTACTTTCCTCATAACAACTCTTGGTAAATTACCCCAAGACACTACTAAAGTCACCTTCAGACTTCACAATGAGGCAGCCATTAATAACTTCACAACAGCAGTAACAAACATTGACTGGCACACTGAGCTAGAAATCTATACAGATATTGACGAATGTTTTAATAATTTTCTAAAAAAGACCCAATACCTCTATAACAAGCACTGCCCTAAAAAACTAAACAAATGACAGCTAAGAGACTGAACAGTCCCTGGCTAACACCCCGCATTCTCAAATCCATAATACAAAACACCAATATGAAAAACAGTACAGAATGGGTCACATAACCAGAGACCAAACAAAACGTTACTCGTCAATCCTAACCAGCCTGATAAGAAAGGCAAAAAAATTGTATTATGAGAACAGATTATCCAACTTACGAGGTGATATAAAAAAGACCTGGAAAACCACCAGGCCCGGTGGCCTGGTGGCTAAAGCTCCCGCTTCACACATGGAGGGCCCGGGTTCGATTCCCGGCGGGTGGAAACATTTCGACACGTTTCCTTACACCTGTTGTCCTGTTCACCTAGCAGCAAATAGGTACCTGGGTGTTAGTCGACTGGTGTGGGTCGCATCCTGGGGGACAAGATTAAGGACCCCAATGGAAATAAGTTAGACAGTCCTCGATGACGCACTGACTTTCTTGGGTTATCCTGGGTGGCTAACCCCCCGGGGTTAAAAATCCGAAAGAAATCTTATCTTATCTAAATAGCGAAATAAAATTAGCAAAATCAGATGAACCCCAACTCCCACCAACAGAAACAGCAAACAGACTCAATGATTTCTTCTCCACTATAGGACAAAACCTTGCCAATAAAATCCCAAGCTCAGATACCCCACCAAATGACTACCTCACCGGCAACTACCCGAACACACTGTTCCTAGCTCCGACTAACCCATACGAAGTCTCCCTTATTATCAACGCACTAAAAAACAAGGCAGGAGATTTAAATACCTTACCACCCTTTATATACAAAAAAGTGTCACAAGTGCTATCACCTATCATTGCAACACTCTTTAACAAATCCATTGAATCCTCCACCTTCCCTACAGTTCTCAAAATAGCAAGGGTCACCCCGATCCACAAAGGAGGAGACCAAACAGAGTTGAATAACTATAGGCCAGTATCCAACTTACACCCTCTCTCAAAAATCTTCGAAAAATTAATTCATAAACGAATCTACTCCTACCTTATCTCCCAAAACATACCCAACCCCTGCCAATTTGGATTCAGGCCTAATAAAAATACTTATGATGCTATTATACACATGCTAGAACATATATACACTGCAATAGAGAAAAAAGAAGTCCCACTGGGGATCTTCATTGACTTACGTAAAGCTTTTGATACAGTTGACCATGACTTGCTCCACGTAAAATTGTCACACTATGGTATAAGAGGGCACTCCCTCAACTACCTCAAGTCATACCTCAGCAACAGAAGCCAATATGTGTACGCAAATGGGGCAAACTCTTCTGCACAACCAATTACAGTTGGTGTCCCACAGGGAAGTGTCCTTGGCCCTCTTCTCTTTCTCCTATACATAAATGACCTACCAAATGCTTCGCAATTACTCAAACCCACACTATTTGCAGATGACACTACATACGTCTTCTCCCATCCGAGCCCAGTCACGCTAGCCAATACTGTAAATACCGAATTACAGAAAATATCTACCTGGATGAGGACTAACAAACTTACACTAAACATTGACAAAACCTATTTCATTCAGTTTGGTAACAGAGCTACAGATGTCCCTCTTAACATAATGATAAACGGATCACCTATCACAAAGCTAACAGAGGGAAAATTCTTAGGAATCCACCTTGATAATAGACTCAAATTTCATACACATATACAACAAATTTCTAAGAAAATTTCCAAGACTGTAGGCATACTATCGAAGATACGGTACTATGTTCCCCAGTCAGCCCTCCTGGCCCTATATCACTCTCTTATTTACCCCTATCTCACCTATGGAATTTGTGCATGGGGCTCAACAACAATTAACCATCTCAGACCACTAATTACCCAACAAAAGGCTGCAGTTAGAATGATAACAAATTCTCACTACAGGCAACACACTCCACCAATATTCAAAACACTCAACCTACTCACCATACAAAACATCCATACTTATTATTGCACCTATTACATACATAGAACACTTAACTCTGATATTAACCCTCCCCTCAAACATCTTGCCAACCTCAACAGAACACATGACCATAACACAAGGCACAGATCACTCTTTGATGTTCCTCGTGTCCATCTCACGCTATGCAAAAACTCAATGCACATAAAAGGCCCTAAAATCTGGAATTCATTACCTGTAAATATAAAAGAAACACTACCTGTTTATAAATTCAAGTCTCTTCTCAAAGATCACTTACTCACCCAAAACCAAATAAATACTGAATAACTGAACCTTATAAATTGTATATCTTAAATGTTTCTCACAATTATATCACATAAATGTTAAACCTATAACCCAATCTAACTTTATTATTTTTTAAATACACTACCTAACAGAATACTCCATACGACTGAATGTACAACAATGCATACAACCATATGACCTGTCTTTGTAATACTCACTTGTGCTTTATAGTAATCTGTTTACATTAATGTTTTATCACTGATTTCATCATTGCTTAGTTAATCTTAAGTTAATTTTAAGCCAGCCCGTAATGCTATGCATAGTATAAGTGGCTTTGGCATGCTGCTCTTATCTGTATTTTTTTGTACCTCTGTATGTGTGCTCAAATGTCACCTTTGCACCATTTATAACATTTTTAGTATACAGTGGAATCTCGGTATACGATCAGCTCCCTACTCGAACAAAGCTCGGCACTCGACCAAACAAATACGACCTGCCAGAACTTCACTGTAAGCTATTTCGTGTTTCTTCACATTTTTTGGTGTTTCTTCATATTATTTATATAAATAAGTCTCCATGGGGCCTTCAACAACACAGAAAACCACACGGAAAATTGGTTGGTAAGAACTTGTTTGATACTCAAATGGAGTGGCACTCGAACAGCCTTCTGGACTGAATTAAGGTCGCATACAGAGGTTGCACTGTATTTTTAAATGTTTATACACTAGTATACTGTATATTGTAATAAACAGAATAGAGGAAATCAGCTCTATTATACATTTCTTAGGTTTGCAAACTGGTTGGAGACCTGGTTGTAAATCTGAGTGGTTGGTAAACAAGTACATCGCTAAGCGAGGAGAGGCTCTACGTACTTTGACAATTATACTTGTGTTCCTGTACCTAAATAAACTTACACACTACCCTGGCGTACAGGTACATATTAAAATCACCGAGAGTGTTTCACTAGTGTTGAAGACACAATAAGCATACCTGGAGAGTATACATGAAGAGGGTTTCGGGGGCCAATGCCCCCGCGGCTCTGTCTGAGACGAGGCCTTGTAAATTCTCTCCCATGCCGGGAATCGAACCCGGGCCTCGTGGGTGAGAGCCACATATCCACATAATACACTACTAATTCCCCCGTTTCCGCGGGGATACCTTCCAAGACCTACCATGGCTGCCCGAAACCGTATATAGTAGCAAACACTATTAGTCATTTTTCATTTACGTACATACCTATGATAAAGTTTAATTGATAAATTATGTACAAAAAATCTAGCATTAGCACTTCACTGCCTCTCTTAGGCTTTAAATGTCACCAACACAACTTTTGCACTTTGGGGGTCATTATTTAGCAAACTTAAACATTATTTTCGGGCCAGGGTAAACTGTGGTAACGAGACCTGCAGATATGGCGGTCCTACTGTAAAATAATTATAATAATACATGTAATAATAATTGTCACTCTGGGATGCTTTAAATATTGTATATGTTATTATAGACATTGTCATTAATCCATCTGTGACTTTTTTTTTTTTCAAAATTATACAAGAAACATGCTACATATTGTATATATAAAATACAGTGGTACCTCGGGATACGAACTTAATTCGTTCCAGAAGGCTGTTCGAGTGCCGATACCGAACGAATTTGTTCCCATAAGGAATAATGTAAATTAGATTAATCCGTTTCAGACCCCCAAAAATACACTTACAAAAGCACTTAGGTAAATACACTTACATAACTGTTCGAGTTTTGAGCTTTTCGCATCCCGAGGTGCCACTGTGTATACAGTCATAGTAAGACAGATGAACATAATTGTGAGTTGTAGTAGCTGGGCAGCTACTACACCTACCACACCTGACTACCATACCTACCACACCTAACTACCATACCTACCACACCTGACTACCATACCTACCACATCTGACTACCATACCTACCATACCTGACTAGCATAACTACCATACCTACCACACCTGACTACCATACCTACCACACCTGACTACCATACCTACCACACCTGACTACCATACCTACCACACCTGACTACCATACCTACCACACCTGACTACCATACCTACCACACCTGACTACCATACCTACCACACCTGACTACCATACCTACCACATCTGACTACCATATCCACCACACCTGACTACCATACCTACCACATCTGGATAACCCAAAAAAAGGTGCTTGCTGTGTTACAGGTTTAGCATTTGTCCATGAGAATAACACATTCGCAGGCACTGTAGACCTTATACCTGCTCAACATTTCCTTACGAAGATGATAATGGTATTTCTAGTTAAATTAACACCGTTTTTGTATTGCAGGCCCCTTACCACTGATGGAGAGGCCCAACATGGGAGTCACAATGGCAACGCACCTTATACCATTTATAATTATATTTGCACCCTTCACACAACCTACAGGTAAGCTCATTATTATTGTGAAACGGTTTGCATAAATGCCTTATTTTTTTCCTTTATTCATAAGGGTCTGTTATGGTGTCCAGTAGCTCGGTTGGTAGCACACTCAGCTCACACATTGAGGTCAGCGGTTTGATCCCTGGTACAGGTAGAAACATTAAGATGTGTTTCCTTAAGACACCTGCTGTCCATGGTCACCTAGCAGTAAAATAGGTACTTAGGTGTTAGTTGACTGGTGCGGGTTGCATATTGACCTAATTTGTGGGAAATGCTCTTTCTATGTAGTAGTATGTACATGAAGTCAGCTATGGCCTGTATACCTTGTACATGTAGAAATAAGGATTATTGTAAATTATTATTATTATTATTATTATTATTATTATTATTATTATTATTATTATTATTATTATTATTATAAGGGAAATCAAGGACAGAATAATGATAATAGTGTACTCTCTTGAAGCAACCTGATCCCTCGCCCACAATCAACACCACAACATCTATAGATGATCAAACATAAAAAATTTTTAGGGTAATGGGTTGGTGGAATAGTTTTAGTGGGTTTGGGCTTGACAAGGACCTGCCAAGTATGGGCCAGTAGGCCTGCTGCAGTGCTCCTCCTTATATTCTCTCACCGCTCCCAACACCTTACAGGCCATGGTCCTTAGGCATCGACTCTGATTTTTTGAGGGGCAGTGATAAAGACTGTATTGGTAGTGTTATTTGCCAACACATATTTTAATAACACACAATACAGTGGACCCCCGGTTAACGTTATTTTTTCACTCCAGAAGTATGTTCAGGTGCCAGTACTGACCGAATTTGTTCCCATAAGGAATATTGTGAAGTAGATTAGTCCATTTCAGACCCCCAAACATACACGTACAAACGCACTTACATAAATACACTTACATAATTGGTCGCATTCGGAGGTGATCGTTATGCGGGGGTCCACTGTATACTGTTTATGGCATTTTATCGAACTTGTCATTCCCCAGGGACTCAATTAATGCTCACAAAGAATTGATGATATAAGATTTTATTGTTTTTTTTAATCCGGAAGGTTAGCCACCCAGGATAACCAAAGAAAGTCATTGTGTCATTAAGGACTGTCTGTCTTATTTCCTTTGTGGTCCTTCAAGCTTGTCTCCCAGGATGCCACCCACACCAGTCCACTAACACCCAGGTATCTACTTAATGCTAGGTGACCAGTGACAGCAGGTGGAAGGTGACTAATACCCAGGTAGTACCTTCTTACTACTAGGTGAATGGTGACAGCAGGTGTAAGGAAACATGCCCAATATTTCCACCCCATACCGGGTATTGAACCTGGACACTCAGTGTGTGTGAAGTGAGTATGCTACCAACCAAGCCAACCAAGTTGTTTATATTTTATCAAGAAGACTTCATTCACCAGGAACTTTAGTAATCTTCACGAAGAACTAATATAGTCCGTGGTGAATCAAACGTCTTTTCAATAAAATGTGTAACTTAAACTGCATATTGTGTCTTATTAATAGAAAAGACTTTAAGTTTCTTTAGAGTATTAAACCCAGAAGGTAATCAAGAAAGCTAAGCAGTTAGGTTAAGTAAGGTTTGTCAGAAACAGAACGAGTGTTTCCTGACGCGGGTCTTAGTCACATGATGACCCGCAGCTGTAGCTTTTAGTCATCTGACTAAGGCCTTCCACTGGACTACCATTCCACTCCTTTAAAAATGATTGAGATTGAGATTTATTGAGATTGGCAAGCAGTGCGGGGTATTTTCATTTGGGTTCATGGATCCTCTGGGCTGGGATGGTACCGATGACTGTCGACAACTCCTTGGTGTCTATACAGTACAACTTTATTTCTGTTCTGCAGTATACAGTAAGGTAGTTCACATGTAATAAATTATTGTTAAGCACAAAAGAGAACCACTAACATGTGATGCATTTAAGGCAGACTTATACAAATAACTGAATCAGTTTGAAATATTAACACATACTTAAAAATTTACTATTTTTCCATTTAGCTACCTCACTTTTTTGTACATTTAAAAAAATCCTACTTAATAACCTAAGTCCAGTTCTTAAGTTTGTATTAATACTTCAAACTGATTCAGTGATCTTCGGTTAAGTGGGACTACTTCAGCTGTTTCAAAGTGACTCGAAGTCTTCAGTTTATGGGATGATCGAAAGAGATGATGAAGATACAGGTAGTTAGTTCCAGTAGATATTTAATGGAAGAAGGTGAGTAATTTACCAGTAGGTGAAGAGGAGCAGGATCCTGGTAAATTGTAACATGGTATTTTCTTCTGTAGTTGTTCTGAATTACTGCTTAAAATGATACTTCGAAAACCATGAGCTTTAAAATACCATGACTGGAACAATACACAAATAAGCCACATACAGGAGAGAGAAGCTTATGACTGTGTTTTGGTCCGACTCGGACCATTTACAAGTCACACTGTGATTTGTGAATGGTTCATGTCAGACCAAAACGTCATCATAAGCTTCTCTCTCTCTCCTATGCAAGGGACATTTTTGCATTTTCCACTAAGATTGACCTAAAGAAGGAAACACATTCACCATCATTCTGTAGGTGTCCCAGAAGTGTGCAGGCATTTATACCCCCAAAGATATCTAAGGAGCTATTGGTAGTGGTTCAATGGCAATATTTTTATTGGGGTACCCGGGATTTTCAGCAAAACAGGATAATCACAATTTTTATAAGATAACTCTTTTGCATTACAATATCTGTTTAAGTGCTGGAATGAACGAGACTGCTGGATAATGTTAGAAACCAAAAAACTGATCATAATAAATAGCACTCTACGTACACCGTATCCAAATGTTTCGTGGATGACTTTATAATTACCTGAGCATCCAGCAGATCTGTATGCATAAGTTAGATCAGAGTGAGTGGAAGCAAGTGGTTAATAAATGAGAAACTTTTGCAACATTTGGGAATCTTTATTCTTGAAATGTTTTTCCAGCCAGTGGCTTCTTCGGTGCAATACAGAGAAAGGTGGTAGATGAGGAGTTTGAGGTAATCAGTCCCCCAGCCTGGAGTTGATGTGTTCAGTCCATCAATCTTGAAAAAAGACTGAATACATAGACTCCAGGCTGAGGGAGTGGGAAAACCACTGGCTGGCAAAACATCTCCAGGATAAAAATTCCCAAATGTTGTGTAAATGTTTCGTTTATTGACCTTAGTTCTATTTAAGCTCGAGCAAGGTGACACTTGTGAAGAGATTTGGGGAAATTGGCTAGTCAGATTTGAGTTCTGGAGGTGGGAAATACAGTGACTGCACTCTGGAGGAAGGGTTACCTGGAGGTTACCTGGAGGTTATTCCGGGAATCAACGCCCCCGCGGCCCAGTCCATGACCAGGCCTCCCGATGGATGGGCATATTACAGTTCTGAAGGTCACTTCACTTGTGTTATTTGCTCACTCCTGACAAGACAGCTATTGAATGAATGATGGTAAGTGTATTTCACCTTTGGGTCACCCCCAACCTTGGTGAATGACAACTTATGTAATTAAAAAAATTGCTTGTTTAACTTTTTTTTACTCTACAGGGAGTCAGTCAGTTAAAGAATTAAGCATAACTACTGGTGGAAATGAGGTGCTTGCCGGCACTAATGTCACCATTAGCTGCAAGGGCCGCGGGGACTTCCTACAATGGCTTCACGGTCACCATAATATTACGTAAGTAATTACCTATTTGTAATTACAAGTGTTCCTCACTTTACGATGAGTCAGTTTGTGTTATTTTAACTTTACAATGGTACGATAACAAATCATACTCATTGCTGTACATTTATTCATAGACTAAAGTGTAATGAACACTCGTCACTGCTCAGTAATAACCCTCATGGAGACAGAATCTGAGGAGGCTAATTGATCTGCATATTTTGACTCCCTTCTGGGGTCCTCTTCAGCAGATGCTGAAGAGCCAAAATATACAGATCAATTAATCTCCTGAGTTTGTCTCCACATTGGTTATTATTCAACATTTACTGATAGGATAAACTTGCACATATTCACTTATTTACTTTTCAATACTGGTACAGTGGAACCTCGGCTTACGAATGCCCCACCATGCGATTTTTTCAGGATATGAATGGTCACTCTATCGATTTTTTGCTTCTGGATACGAACGAAATTTCAGAATGCAAACTTCCCCCTCACGGGAGGTTCCTTGGTGAGGGGCTCTTGATCAAGGGAATTGGATCTGTGCTTAACTTCCCTAAATTAAGAGATAAGAGGAAATAAACAAGAACAAGAACTAGAAAGAAAATAGAAGAAAACCCAGAGGGGTGTGTATATATATGCTTGTACATGTATGTGTAGTGTGACCTAAGTGTAAGTAGGAGTGGCAAGACGTGCCTGAAATCTTGCATGTTTAAGAGACAGAAAAAAGCCACCAGCAATCCTACCATCATGTAAAATAATTACAGGATTCCGTTGTACACTCACTTGGCAGGACGGTAGTACCTCCCTGGGCGATTGCTGTCTACCAACCTACTACCTACAGTTATAATACATATTCTTCTTTCAACAAACCGGCCGTATCCCACCGAGGCAGGGTGACCCAAAAAGAAAAACAAATGTTTCTCTTTTTAAATTTAGTAATTTATACAGGAGAAGGGGTTACTAGCCCCTTGCTCCCAGTATTTTAGTCGCCTCTTACAACACGCATGGCTTACGGAGGAAGAATTCTGTTCTACTTCCCCATGGAGATAAGAGGAAATAAACAAGAACAAGAACTAGAAAGAAAATAGCAGAAAACCCAGAGGGTTTGCATATATATATGCTTGTACATGTACAATTGTAGGTAGTAGGTTGGTAGACAGCAACCACCCAGGGAGGTACTACCGTCCTGCCAAGTGAATGTAAAACAAAAGCCTGTAATTGTTTTACATGATGGCAGGATTGCTGGTGTTTTTTTTGTCTGTCTCATAAATATGCAAGATTACAGGTATGTCTTGCTACTTCATAGGGAACTTCAGGAGGATTTAGACAAACTCTACTCTTGGTCAGAAAAGTGGCAGATGCAGTTCAATGTAGATAAATGCAAGGTTCTGAAGCTCGGGAGTGTCCATAACCCTAGCACTTATAAGTTAAATAATGTAGAACTTAGCCATACAGATTGCGAAAAGGACTTGGGGGTTATGGTAAGCAGCAACCTTAAACCAAGACAGCAATGCCTAAGCGTACGTAATAAGGCAAATAGATTACTGGGATTTATATCAAGAAGTGTAAGCAACAGAAGTCCAGAGGTCATACTGCAGCTTTTACATCATTAGTAAGGCCTCACCTAGATTATGCAGCTCAATTCTGGTCCCATATTACAGAATGGACATAAATTCGTTAGAAAACATTCAGGTAGGATGACTAAATTAATACATAGCATTAGAAATCTTCCTTATGAAGAAAGATTGAAGACTCTTAAGTTACATTCACTTGTTAGACGAAGAATGAGGGGAGACCTGATCGAAGTGTATAAGTGGAAGATAGGTATTAATAAAGGGGATATTAACAAGGTCTTGAGGATATCTCTCTAAGAGAGAACCCGCAGTAATGGATTTAAATTAGATAAGTTTAGATTTAGAAAGGACATAGGAAAGTATTGGTTTGGAAATAGGGTAGTTGATGAGTGGAACAGTCTACCTAGTTGGGTTATTGAGGCTAGGACTTTGGGTAGTTTCAAATTTAGGTTGGATAAGTACATGAGTGGGAGGGGTTGGATTTGAGTGGGACTTGCACATCGGAGCTTGTTTCTTGGGTGGCATTGAAAGTTGGGTTGGTCAAATGTTTGTTAGTGGGATGAATTGTAAAGGACCTGCCTAGTATGGGCCAACAGGCCTGCTGCAGTGTTCCTCCTTTCTTATGTTCTTATGTTCTACTTACACTTAGGACACACTACACATACATGTACACGTTTATTTATGCACACTCATCTGAGTTTTATTTGCTTTTATCTTAATAGTTCTTGGTCTTATTACTTTTCCTTTTATATCCATGGGGAAGTGGAATAAGAATCTTTCCTCTGTAAGCCATGCGTGTTGTAAAAGTCAACTAAAATGCCAGGAACAATGGGCTAGTAACCCCTTTTCCTGTAAAGATTACTAAAAAGAATAATAAGAAGAAAATTGTCAAAGTGGGAAGTCTGAATGTGTGTGGATTTGTGCAAATGATAAGAAAGAGATGATTGTGGATGTTATGAATGAGAAGAAGCTGGATGTCCTGGCTTTAAGTGAAACAAAGCTGAAGGGGGTGGGAGAGTTTCAGTGGAGAGGAATAAATGGGATTAGGTCAGGGATTTCAAATAGAGTTAGAGCTAAAGAAGGAGTAGCAATAATGTTGAAGGATAAGATATGGCAGGAAAAGAGGGACTATAAATGTATTAATTCAAGGATTATGTGGAATAAAATAAAGGTTGGATGTGAAAAGTGGGTTATAGTAAGTGTATATGCACCTGGAGAAGAGAGAAGTGTAGAGGAGAGAGAGAGATTTTGGAAAATGTTGAGTGAATGTGTGGGGAGTTTTGAACCAAGTGTGAGTGTACTTGTGGTTGGGGATTTCAATGCTAAAGTGGGTAAAAATGTTGTGAAGGGAGTAGTAGGTAAATTTGGGGTGCCAGGGGTAAATGTAAATGGGGAGCCTTTAATTGAGCTATGTGTAGAAAGAGATTTGGTAATAAGTAATACATATTTTATGAAAAAGAGGATAAATAAATATACAAGGTATAAAGTAGCACGTAATGAAAGTAGTTTGTTAGATTATGTATTGGTGGATAAAAGGTTAATGGGTAGGCTCCAGGATGTACATGTTTATAGAGGGGCAACTGATATATCAGATCATTATTTAGTTATAGCTACAGTTAAAGTAAGAGGTAGATGGGACAAGAGGTAGGTGGCAACAACAAGTAGGAGGGAAGTGAAAGTGTATAAACTAAGGGAGGAGGAAGTTCGGGTGAGATATAAGCGACTATTGGCAGAAAGGTGGGCTAGTGCAAAGATGAGTAGTGGGGGGGGGTTGAAGAGGGTTGGATGAGTTTTAAAAATGCAGTATTAGAATGTGGGGCAGAAGTTTGTGGTTATAGGAGAGTGGGGGCAGGAGGAAAGAGGAGTGATTGGTGGAATGATGAAGTATAGGGTGTGATTAAAGAGAAAAAGTTAGCTTATGAGAGGTTTTTACAAAGCAGAAGTGTTATAAGAAGAGCAGAGTATATGGAGAGTAAAAGAAAGGTGAAGAGAGTGGTGAGAGAGTGCAAAAGGAGAGCAGATGAAAGAGTGGGAGAGGCACTGTCAAGAAATTTTAATGAAAATAAGAAAAAAATTTGGAGTGAGTTAAACAAGTTAAGAAAGCCTAGGGAAAGTATGGATTTGTCAGTTAAAAACAGAGTAGGGGAGTTAGTAGATGGGGAGAGGGAGGTATTAGGTAGATGGCGAGAATATTTTGAGGAACTTTTAAATGTTGAGGAAGAAAGGGAGGCGGTAATTTCATGCACTGGCCAGGGAGGTATACCATCTTTTAGGAGTGAAGAAGAGCAGAATGTAAGTGTGGTGGAGGTACGTGAGGCATGTAGAATGAAAGGGGGTAAAGCAGCTGGAACTGATGGGATCATGACAGAAATGTTAAAAGAAGGGGGATGATATAGTGTTGGAGTGGTTGGTACTTTTGTTTAATAAATGTATGAAAGAGGGGAAGGTACCTAGGGATTGGCGGAGAGCATGTATAGTCCCTTTATATAAAGGGAAGGGGGACAAAAGAGATTGTAAAAATTATAGAGGAATAAGTTTATTGAGTATAACAGGAAAAGTGTACGGTAGGGTTATTATTGAAAGAATTAGAGGTAAGACAGAATGTAGGATTGCGGATGAGCAAGGAGGTTTCAGAGTGGGTAGGGGATGTGTATATCAAGTGTTGACATTGAAGCATATACGTGAACAGTATTTAGGTAAAGGTAGGGAAGTTTTTATTGCATTTATGGATTTAGAAAAGGCATATGATAGGGTGGATAGGGGAGCAATGTGGCAGATGTTGCAAGTACATGGAATAGGTGGTAAGTTACTAAATGCTGTAAAGAGTTTTTATGAGGATAGTGAGGGTCAGGATAGGGTGTGTAAAAGAGAGGGAGACTACTTCCCGGTAAAAGTAGGTCTTAGACAGGGATGTGTAATGTCACCATGGTTGTTTAATATATTTATAGATGAGGTCGTAAAAGAAGTAAATGCTAGGGTGTTCGGGAGAGGGGTGGGATTAGATTATGGGAAATCAAATACAAAATGGGAATTGACACAGTTACTTTTTGCTGATGATACTGTGCTTATGGGAGATTCTAAAGAATAATTGCAAAGGTTAGTGGATGAGTTTGGGAGTGTGTGTAAAGGTAGAAAGTTGAAAGTGAACATAGAAAAGAGTAAGGTGATGAGGGTATCAAATGATTTTGATAAAGAAAAATTGGATATCAAATTGGGGAGGAGGAGTATGGAAGAAGTGAATGTTTTCAGATACTTGGGAGTTGACGTGTCGGCGGATGGATTTATGAAAGATGAGGTTAATCATAGAATTGATGAAGGAAAAAAGGTGAGTGGTGCGTTGAGGTATATGTGGAGTCAAAAAACGTTATCTATGGAGGCAAAGAAGGGAATGTATGAAAGTACCAACACTCTTGTATGGGTGTGAAGCTTGGGTTGTGA